GGGTGGGGGATACCTAATTTTTGGGGTCTGATAGTTATTATTAGTAATGTGACAAAAATTGACCCAAAAAATAAAATAAAACACCCACGAGAGTGGTCGAAGTTAGTTGAGTAGGTAATCTTCTGAATGAGGAGTCTCAGATTCGAGAATCCTTGCATATTTTATTGGTCGAGCTTGTCGCATGAGGTTTGTGGCATTGACTCATGCAGTGAAGGGTGATTAGTTGAACATAATTCGTCAAAAAAATATATTATGTATATAGAAAATTGTATGAAGTAGGTCAAAATTACTTTTGATCACATTTACTATGTATATATTAAATCTTGAATACTTTTAACAAAATTTCTTACTTTGTCACTGAGCTTGTCTAATTTAATTTACTTCTCATATATGGTTTGCGGACTATTCCACTGAAACGAAATTACAGAAAATGAGGAAAAAATTGAACCAAAAATGGGTCATATATTTTTTTTTGGTCTGATATGACCATATGAACAAAAAAAGGAAAATAATACGTTGAATGTCCCGTGATTTCTAAGTTTAGCAAAATTGTTCAAGCTCCTCATTTAGCGGAAGCTCTTATTTCAAGAAAAAAAATTAAAATAAAGTTTGGTTATACATTGAATTGTTTTTTAAAAACACAAAAAATTTGAAGATAAGTTTATTTTTTTTTTTTTCTATTTCAAAGCAAAAGGTTACAGAGGAGGACCAAACCTTACCTCATACAAGAGTAGCTAGAATGGTAAGCCATTCTTACAATTTTAGCTTCCAAAAATAAAGCAAAAGAGGAAGATTGTTCCTAGTACAGTGAGGTTTCCAAAAAGTCTAGTATAGAATACCTAGTACCATTCAAGAAGAGCTCAACCAGGGTCGAAGATAAAAGTGTTTTTCCTTAATCTGATTCTAAAGTTGGGACGAGCTTCTTCATCATTCTTCATAGTGGCTACAATCTTCCTTGGTAAGTGAAAAGTTTCTGTGAAGAAGTCATTTTTCCTGTCAAGCTCCGCATAGTTGGCCAAGAGATCAGCAGTGTTATTCCCTTCCCTGAAAATATGAATGAACTGAAAATTTCCCTTTGAAGTCATATTATGGATGTCGTTAATCTCCTCCTTAATGCTCCATGTTGTAGTAGTAGCTTGGTTGATCATGTTAATCACAGTCAAGGAATCAGATTCTATAGTAAGAACATTGAAACCGTGATCAATACACCATTTCAATCCAATCTTGATAGCCCGTGCCTCGGCCAAGTTGTTAGAAGAGTGACCAAAATATGCTGTGAAAGCCATGATCATATGACCCATATGATTCCTCAAAATACCTCCACCGCCGGCACTTCCTGGATTGCCCTTAGAGCAACCGTCAACATTAAGCTTGTATTCTCCGTAATTAGGCTTACTCCACAAGACGGGGGTGATATCTATCTTCGGCTTGATATTCTCCATCATCCGACAAATGCTTCGAAATTTTGTGGGAAGCTTTAGGGAAGGGAACTGGGAAGTGAGGATCAAATGGATGTGGTATGTAGCTTGATGAATAATGTTGCCAGAGTAAATTTTGGTGCCTTCATATTTATAAGTGCATCTATGTTTCCATAATTCCCAGCAAATCACAGAAGGAAGGCATTGAGTGGTCAATTCAAGCACTTTGTTGGTGGATTTAAAACGCCACCATCTCATAAGCTTAGTACGAATGCTATCAGAATTAGGCCAGAGCAGTCCCAAAGTATGTTCAAAAAATTTCCAAACTTTCTCCGCTATTTGACCATAGCTAAACAGGTGGTTGATGTCCTCATTCATTCCATTGTGACAACAAAAACATTTGGAAGGTCCCTGCACACCAAAACGAGATAATGAGAGTAATTTTCTTTCATTGTGTAATTTGAAGAAAAAGTAAATTTTGTTTTGAAAATGAAAAATGATTTTTGTAAATTACTCCCTCCGTTTCACAAAGAATGACCTCCTTTCCTTTTTAGTCAGTTTCAAAAAAATGACTTCTTTCCTTTTTTGGTAGCATTTTACTTTTTGCTTTCCACGTGGCATGTTTAAGACCACAAGATTAAGGACAATTTTGTACATTTGACATAACTTTAATTTAGGACCACAAGATTCAAAAGTCTTCTTTAATTTCTTAAACTTCGTGCCAAGTCAAACCAGATCAATCTTTTTGAAACGGAGGGAGTAGTTGTTTTCGATTTTTTGTGAGTAATTTTGAGTGAAAATACCTTTTGTTAGTTTTAAATTGTTGAAAATTATGGAATTCAGCTTCAAGTTGAATTTTGTAATTTTACGATGAAATGTGTTTTTATGAGTTGAATTATGGAAAAAAGTATTAAAAAATTGGTGGTCGAATGCTTTCTTACTTATTTTTTAGTGTTTGATAACCGGTAAGTAAGAAAATATGAATAATATTGAGTGTGAAAACACTATTGTGAGATGGTGTGGGGAGTGAGTCAGGGGTGGCGAGGGGTGGGATGGTCAAGGGTTGGGGTCGGAGGTGTTGGTGAGTGGAGAGGAGACTACTTTAGTGAGTTCT